AACTCCTTCTTTTACTAGTTGGTGGTGTTATATTGCCCTATTAACAATAGTAGGATGACTTCCAGAGGACCACTTCAGTTACAGAAAATCCCCCAAACTGTATTTGTTTGTCAAAGATAGCAAGGATGTCCCCAGGCAGGGCAGCGTCTCTGCAGAGCTGAGACCCCTGTCCCTGCCACTTCTGGAGAGTGACGGGTGGTGTGAACAAAGAAAGACCAGAGAGATGTGGAGAAGATGTTTGTGATCTTGATTTTTTAGATGCACTGGCACAAAAATGGGGAACACTGCGTGGTCTTGGTTATCTGCAGAAAGGGTTATCTGATTTCCTTCTCCCCAAGGAGTAAAGCAGAGAGTGAGTGCTCAGAATGGACTCTGTGGGCAATCACCTATCAGCAAACCTTGAGGACCTGCTTTGGAAGGGAGTTGAGTTGCCCTGGGTTCTTTTGTAAGTTAGTGGAGATAGAACAGCTGCTTGCAGACAGCACTTTGGTAGTTATCAGTGTGTGTCCAGTCACTTAATAATCCCTAAAGCTCTTGGTTCTCTTCTGAGGATGCACTGCCGGCGATGTTATTTATTTCAGAGTGCAGGGGTTCTGGTCATACAGGACTTCGGCACAGGCGCAGTTAGTTTGCAGCAGAAGATGCGTAAGAAGCTAGACAATAATAGAAGGGGTTGTGTAATACGCTCTGCCCAGCCAAATCTGCTTTATAACGAATGTAGCAGGGATTTTTTCTTGAGGCTGCTGGATGTAAATAGTATCTTACAATTCTTTGTAGGCTAGAATTGGTAGGAACTTCTCAACACAATCACATTCCTGTTGAAAATATGGTTTAAATAAGTTAAAAAAAATGTTTTCCGTGTGAAAGTATTGCTTTTTTTTTCAGTAGGGATATTCTAAACAAAACATTTTGTTCTGAACCAAGAAAGGAAATTTTTCATTGTATTTAGGATATTCTTGAGGAAAACAGATTCCTTTATTGGGCTAGATGATCTCTAGAGGTCCCTTCCAACCTCAACCATTCTGGGATTCTCTGGGATTCTGGGATTTCACTTTAGTTCAGTCTAGCTAAAGACAGTCTGTGCAACTAATAGGTTCTAAAGTCATATACTAGATGGAGTCTGGAACGGATTATTGCCTAGAATTATCTATTAACTTGGTGTCTTTGAACAAAGTCGATTCAGATAGTGAAATGTGAGGAATATTTACCTCTATCCATCTGGTTCATCCAGCTGTAGCTAGTACAAGTCTGATGTTTATGACCAAATAAATGGTATAATACTGTCAAATGTCCAGTTGGGAAAAAAAGAAAAAGTTAGCAATATACCACAACAAATATACAACAAATATTTTTTCCCATTTAATGAATATTCTTCATGTCATAAATTTAAGACTTATTGGTGACAGTTGAGATTTTCTAATACCGGAGGATTTTTATGTAGGTTCTTCAGCTTCATTCTTACCATCACGTCCTGTGTTTAGTTTCTCTCACTTCCTCAGGGCGATGCACTGGATGAGGATTTCTGTGGGCAATTACTGATAAAACTAATCTGTGCCCTTTTATTCAAAGACGGAAAAAAGCATGAGCTAAGTATTCCCTCTGCGTGCACATCCAGCTGTCTAGGATAGAGAAATTGAACAAGTTGTTTGTAATTATGTCTGTTTTGTATTCCTCTGTTCACTCATTTTTTTCTTTCCATTAGAGAATGCCTAGTCAGGTAAGACTTGTGGCAAGGAATCGAGTTCAACAAATGTAGGTTCTTTTGAACCATGCGGTGAAATTAATTTGTTGTCATGGACATCTCAAATCTTCTTAATGAATTGAGTTTCTTGAACAATTATCTTGGAGAAGAAAATGCCTTCATGCATGTAATTTTTTTTCTTAGATATTAAGGATTTTTAAAAGCTATATTGTTCAATTAAACATGTAAATTTTACTTAGCAGTTAAGTAATAGCCAGTGTGAAATAAGGACCCTAAATCCTAGGGGAAAAAAATATTTTCAATGTTTTCTACATGTTCGTACTCTGCTGAGAATGAGCTTTTCAACAAGCTTCCTGTGGCCATGAAAATAAAAATCTATCAACATAATGGGTTAGTGTTTTAGCTCAAATTTGAGGTTGCCCTTCATATCAAAACTTTTCATTTATAGATATGCCAGTTAATTAATTTGGGAATACATATTCTTCCAATTCCTTTTTTCTGTAAAAACATAACCAGAAGTCGCTTATCTCTTTCTGTAAGCTCTGCATTTATAAATCCATACAAGTAGGATGAAAACGCTCTCAGACCCATCGCTATTTCATGACTAAACCATTTGCTAACCATATCCAGTAAAGGGACCAAAATGCAGCTGAAGCCAGTGGATACTCAAGGCATGGGCCAGCTCTGTTCCCCATTCACACAATTCCAAGGGGTGACTTTTGAAAGGGGATGCGGCTCCGAGCACGTGGCACAGCCGGCCTCCGTGGAGGCCTCGAGAGATGCTCTGCAGGGCAGCGCGTTTGCTCCAGCTTCTCTCCTGATAAGCAAAGGGGCACAGAGGGAGCTGCTCTGTGGTCTTTAAATGTGAGAAGCCGTGACATTCAGACGGCATCCGTGAGCATTATTTAGGGTAGGCAATACTTCAGAACATTGAGATCTAATTAAAAAATACTTGTTCAGTTTTGATAATTTGTTACGATTTGGAATTTACCAGATTTGGGAAAGCTTGATGCATTATAGGGTTTTTTGTCTAAATTTTTTCCTAGAGCAATGAAAGAATCTTTATTTCAGATTTGCTCTTTCTCTCCTCCCCCCCCCGCCGCTTTTAATGAGAGTTTTGAGCTGATTTGTGGAAAATGTTTGTTTTTTCCAGTATTTTCTTCAGCCTAGAATACATTTGTTCACCCAGATTTTGTCAAAGGTTCTAATTATATTCTTATGTCTGGCTTTTAAATCATTGGAAATTGGAAATTTTTATATCAACATTTTCATTGCTGTAGTTACAAGTCATGTACTTTTCTGTTTTCTAACCAGATGCTGAACTATAATTTTGTTATCTGTTCCTCAACTGTAAAGAGAACAGATTCAGAACTTTTTATCATCAAAGCACTGTTTGAACTGTGAGGTTGAATGATCTCCCTTCTCGTTTATAAGGGTTTAAGTAACCCTCTTCATTTGTTTTTATATTTTTTCTCCAAACACGTAATATTAATCAATTTTATTGTCAAATGCACCTTTTTAAACATTGAGATTGTCAGTAAGCATCATGTTTCATGTAGTTGTAAAAACAGTCATTGAAAGAACAGAATGATACGAAATATGGTGCAATTAAAATGTACATTTCTGTCCTGGATGAGAAAATGGAAGTTGAGGAAATCTCTGTAATTGTGTGAACTTCTGTGCACATATGTCCCTTCTGAGGACACGGTCTAAGAACAGGGCCCTCAGCTATCACAGCCCATGGAAATTCTGCCTTTACTCCTGCATCCTTGGCTCTCATTGCAAGTCCTCCAGACAGGGAATCTGAGCTCCAGATTGTTTTCCAGCAGTAAGTAAAGGCTCTCTAAGTTCTCATTTGGCTTTATTGCATGTGATGCATCAGTATCTAGAAGCCTTAGCTTTGGTTTTTGCATAGCAAAGCCCTCTCTCTTTCCATTGTGTTTTGTTTGCTAGTTGTTGTTATGTTTCAATGGAGGAGACACGCTCGCTGTTGCATTGCTTTTGGAATGTTCCTATTAGAGGAAATATGAATAGGAAACTATGATGAGGATGTTTATCTGCAAGACTGGAGAGTTGCAGGCTTTATTCCCATAGCTGCCTTTTTTCCAGAAGAAGACAGGCTATGTCCTCTACTATTTACTGAAGCCTTTTTGCTATTCCTATAAAGTAAGAAGCCCAACTTTGCATACGTAGGAAGTATGGTGGGATGCCAAAGTGCTGTTACCCGAGTCTGCAGGTAGCTGAAATGTTTAGTATTTAATAATTTACTGAAGCCTTTTTGCTATTCCTATATAGTAAGAAGCCCTACTTTGCACACCTAGGAAGTATGGTGGGATTAATACCTTTTAGCTCATTGGCTTTTCAAGCACAATTAAAAATGGATCTTCTAAGATTGTTCTTATTGTTCAGACACACAGTCTGTTCAGCACCGAATACTCAGGAACATTTTTTATTGTTCACATTTTGGGAAGAGTGGGGGCTTGGGTGTATGGATCATTTAGGGAGGAAACCAATCTACCTGCTACGATCGACAGCTATTTCTGCAACTGCTGTTGCCTTTCCTTTATGTTCTGCTCCTGTGGCCTGTCCTTGTGATATCCTTTCATGGTGAAGTTCAACGTCAACTTATCAGAAATGAGGCTTGAAACAACTGAATATTGCATTCAGCTGCAGCACAGCTGATGTTATTTCGGCATATCGCTGAACGGCATCAGTTTCTGTTAAAATACAGACCTAATGATAGTGATACTTGACTATATGCTATACAGAAATTAGAGCTGGTTTTTCCTTTCCTTTTACACCATGACCTGATAGATTGCAGGTATTGAAACAGTATCATTTAACCTAATTACCAGTGCATGCATCATATCCTTACAATTCAGCTTAAACGTAAGAAATATGAAGTTTTTCTGAGGGCATACAGTATACTGAATACTGCTATTTAGGTACAGCCTGGAGAAGTACGAATCTTTCCCTGAGCTGCTTTGTGAGTACCTGTTATGCTCACGCTACACTGTCTTCTAGGCGTATGCGTGGTCTGTTATTTCACTGATTTATGCAGAAAAGCGGCCAGAAAGGAGCTGTTTCAGCAGAGAAGTAGCTTAAACATCAGGTCCTTTAAAAGTTTCTCACGATATTCGCTCCAAACAGTAGCCATTCTTTCTTTAATTTTAGCATTACGCTTGGAATTTTTGTCTGGTTAATTAGGAGATCATTTTGCACGACTTTGTATCTAGTCACAAGTTTAAAAACAAATACGTTCCTTTTCCTTATTCTGTGTTTGCTGTCTCCTTTCTAGATCCCTCTGCACACTGGTGTGCAAGTGGACATACACTTCGGATGGAGGTTGGGATGACAGTTTCTGGCAAATGATTGGCTTGGAAGATTTGGTGAAAGATCAGTATGAAAAAATAGGTATTTTTTTCTGTATATATTAAACTCTTGTTTTGTATTATGAATGTTATTAAAAACATAGTATGTCTAGATAGAGCTACAGATGGCTGGATTACAAGGCTGGGTACTCATAGGTATTAGGTTTTTTTCCTTGTCATTGTTATGAAAATCTATGTTTAATTTTGCATTTTCAACCCTTCTTAAACTTGCTAGCTGGTGTTTCAGTACTGCTCAGTTCAACAACAGAGAGATAAACAGGAGCCTCAGCAACTGAGTACATGAAGGAAGCACTTGATACTGGCATATTTCACGGCAGACTACAAAGTAAACTGTAATAGCTTTAACTGCTGCTGGTAGCATATTTTGTGACCTGTACCTCCTGTATAGAAATTTTCCAAAGAAGTGCTAATTATGCTTGTTAGTATCTTCATACTGCTCTCTCAGTCTCTTAGCACCTAGGTTTAATTAGAATGTTAGCCTTGCTAATAGCAGTTCCTACAGCAGATATTCATTAAAAGTCCATAATGTTAATATACCAGAAAATTTCCAGGACAACTTTATTAGACTTTCCCTATTAAGTTAATGGACTTTTAATGGATGTCCTAAGCAGACATGTCATTAACAAGAATATTACCAGACATGAATTAAAATACATTAATTCATCAAAGCTAATTATCTGAAATTTCCTTTGATTTTTTTTTATGTCTAGCACTTTGAACAAGTTTGTACAGCAGTTTAAATGCAGTGACATGAAATGGAAATGACATAGGGAGAATTGTTATGAAATGAAATATAATGAAATCTATAAACTTTTTCCGATCATCATAAGATAGCTATAAGTCATTTTCAGCTATATAAGGTAATTGTACTTGAAAGCTTCCTAGAATAAAATTCAGCATCTCCTCATTGAAATTGCTTATGCAAAGATATAAACCCTACTAGAAATATTGAGCTTTTAGCTTTCTGGAATTTTAGTCTGAATACAGTTCCTGTAACATCTACCAGATAGGGCTTTTAGCAAATTTTCAGCAAGTTAAAATAAGACTTGCAATAAATGCCTGTTTTTTACCAGAAAACCGAACATCTCAGCAGCTGATCATATCATGGAAAAGTATTTTTAAAATAAATTATTTATGAAATGTAAGCTAAGGATTTAATACAATATTTATAAAATGTACTTCAAGGACACTGGAAAGCAATTTAGCATTTTAAGCAACTAAACATACATGTTTCTAATGATAAAATAGCTGTTAATAGAAAGAGCCTTTTGCTGTGATAGAAGCTTCATAAAACTGATCTATATAGGGCTGAAAATCTAGGAGGGGTTTCCAGTGTCATGTTTTACATTTTTGTTAAACAGAATAATGACAAAATAGACTAATCAGAGAAATCAGTAAATCGACGTCTGTTGACAGGAGTTAGTCGGAAGAAAAAAGTGATCTCCTCAATCTCCACAGAGCATCTACTTCCATGGATGATTGTACTGATTTTTAAGGGACTAACCATAGGATGCCTGGCGGTGCCTCAATTGGAATTAGAGAAGCAGCATCTGACTTAGAGAGTTACAATGAACTGTAGGCTAGAATGTGAAGCTTCTGAAGAGCACATGTTTTTGTTTACCTTAAAAAAATGGTAATTTTCATGTGCTTGAGCTAATTACCTTAGGTACCTACAAAGGTACTGTGCATTTTGCTTAATAATGCAAAACCCGGGCTCAGGTAGAATATACGGCTGCTTTCATGACCATTTTTCTAGCCTTGTCTCATGCAGCCGTTCCTCCTCCAAGCTGGTCTTCTCAGCAGTGTCTCCTGCCATCTGCAGTCCTGTCACTATCTCTGAACATGTGGTGTATTATTCCAAGGAAATGGGAATGGTAACAGTGTTTCACTGAAAGTTTGAGGCTTTTCCTGTTTTAATATGAGTATTTAGTGTTGTCTAACTTGGGAAAAGCACATTTATAAGCTCTGCTTTCCCTCACTTCCTTTAAATTAATCAGGATCGTGTAGACCCACTGACCCTCAAAGTGCCATTTGGTGGCTACAGCAGGACTGGTCAAACTGTAGCTGGAACGTGCATCATGGGTTGTGCAAGACCCCACGTAGCTTTGAAAGTGTCAGCACTGGAGATACGGCAGTACCACTGCATGGACCTTCTGCCAAGAACCCACCAGTGCTACTCTGAGCACATCGAAAACAGCATCACGCTTGGCATGAACTCAGCTCAGGCTGTATTGCACTGCAGCTTCAGGGCACTGTCCCATGAAGCAAATAACCTCAGGCCCCGCTAACTTGGTTCATTGTGCAAAAGGAAGGTAATTTAATTCACATTGACATCAAGGTGCAGCGTACACTTTTAGGATGAATCTAATAATGTGATATGTCTGCCAAAATGGAGCTGAGCCTGAAGAGCAGATAAAGGAACTCAAAATTGCCAGACAACCTAGGTAGGGGTAGGATAGAAAGAAATTGTACCTGGTCAAATATTCTCCTTAATGTAAAAATAAAGCCAAAAAAGAACAGAAGAAATCCTACTTTTCTGTTCTCTTACACAGCTTATCAAGTCCATGTACCTCAAGGTACCTGTACCTTTCTGTTCAAGGTTTGTTTACCTCAGATTCTTATGAGGATGTACTTTAATGCTTGCATGGTCCCATTGAAAAGGTAGGTAGTGGCATGTTTTTGTCACATCTCTCTCACAAAACATTAGGAAAGCTAAGGTCAGAAATATATTTCTTGGTAAATAAAGCATAACTTCACAAGATAAAATCAGCTGAATCTTATTGGTGCAAAAGTAAGTACACATTTTATGAGTTTAGACAGGCAGATAAAATACATATTTTTAATCACTGATGAAAACAATGTTATTTTCATTTAGAGGAAACTATGAGCAAATAGGTGCAACTGGAAGTTCTTTTGTAGTACCTTTAACTTTCACGATACTGAAATTAATTACAGAAGTGCCCTGAGTAAAACTTCTTTAGTACATCTTTACTCAGTACATATTTCTTTGTTCAGTTAAAACGCGTATCACTTTTAAAATGTCTTGCCCTTTAAAAATATATTTACGATAAGGAGAGTGGTGCTTGTGGTTTCAGGTAATTCGCTTCTCTTGGTTTCGGTTTAGCTGAACAGATGACCTCGCTGTTAAGGGAGACCCTCTCTTCTGACCTTTAGGATCTTCCATGAGCCTTTCCCACCTTGGGGCGTGGGTTTGACTGTGGAAAGTCCAGGCCTTTGACCTTTTGCATTTCTCACAGCAGCCTAACGTTTCAGGGAATCCACAGCACAAGTTGTTTGTGGTCCCTTCTGTACCCTGTGAATTTACTGATCACATTTGTGAAGGTAAAGATTCACATCTAGAGATGCTGGAAAATTTATTGAACCCATTAATTTGCCCACCAAGAGAGTAGAGGATGGCTCGTGTTCAAAACCACTATGAAAGCGCTGTGTACTGCAGGCATTAGCATTTATCTGCTGTGGTGAAAGCTCATGATGAGTATCACTTTGTGGTATTATAAAACCTAGAAAGACATTAACAATTCCGTTAAAATTTCATGTGGTATAGGCCTCTTAGGGTATTGAAGCATATAGTCCATTTGGAGGAAAACAATGCCTGCTAAATTTTCACCATAGCCTTCTACTTCAGGGGCTACTTAAGGGACCAAATAATGATTTTTTATTGAACGGTAATATTTTATGCCAAGTTTTTTTTTTTTTTTTGATTGAAGATGGCTCATTTGTCTAAGTGAGCATTGCAGGCACTACAGAATCATTTTTCACTGTTGCCGTAGATCATGTGTAAAGGCTGAAATACTGATATTTTTAAAATGGAAGTTTGTCACCTTATTTCATCTGTGATATAGCTGTACACTGATTTTGTTATTTTTTATTTGTATTATTTTATTTTGAAGCAAGCTTCATACTTTGAAATGCAGCTCTCTAAAATAATGAGGATTTCATAGTCTGATTTTCCAGGAATTTAGAGTCACATTCTCAAAAGTTAATAGATACACAGCTGATACTTATGGGGTTTTTATTAGCGTCTAAGGTGGAGTTATTCGTGCTACCTTCAATTTTGCAAATGCAAGTAACTGCTGCATGCATAGATGTGTGATATCAGAAAATAGGTTTTTGTACCAAAACATTATCGGCATTTTGTTTGTAAAATGATATACTCTTTCTTAGAATTATTTTTTTCTTTCTGTATGACTGGGTGACCTGGCAATCTGAGTTTTATTCCTGTCTACACCCAACATTTCTCTACCTCTGTTTCGTGTCTGTAAAACCGTAACTTGGCTTCATTTGTTTTAGAGTAAGACTGGAGGAAGTCTTTCATGCTTGCTCTTAGACTTCATACGTGTTGATGGTATAAAAAGATGATGTTTTGGTGCTTATGCCTCTTTAAATCTGACTCTTGTTTTTTTTCCCACGTGGCCCCTTATTGGGCTCTGTCAAGAAAAGTGCTTCCCATTTTCCACAAATTGCTTCAGTATATTTCCAGTAGACTTTCTTCTGAATTTTAGCCTTGGCACTGTGTTTTCAATTCCAAAGAACTCGACTTGACTTTCAGTGCATTCATAGTCAGTGATGTTTACGCCCGTCTGCCAGTTGAGCAGTGTCACCCTCCCAGTTCTGGTAATCTGTGACCACACTTTAGAGTCAGCTGTTTCTGGCACTCTGTGGCAATGCCTTAATGTACAGCCCTAGCGCCTTGCAGTCACTGATGGTAATTTCTCACTTAATTTCAGGACCGAAACCTTGAGGTTTCCAGGTACCTGGGCACTTGTGTGTACCAACTGTTTATGAGTGCATTTATGGAAAGGAGGATCTGTAGAAATGTTGGGCTGTGTAGATGTTCTGTTCTAATGCTCTTTCATTTGCAGCACTTCATGTTAAATTGATAATAAAAACAGATATGATTTGAGACTTTGACAGGAGAGAGAGGATTGTTTTCATCATTATTTGCTGTCATTCTTGCTATGGCACAGGATTACAGCATGTTGAGTTTTCAACTGTGCTGCTTTAGGTTTTCAAACAAGTGACAAAATAGCAGGTATCCTGGCTCCCTGTTTATGAATATGTTATTGTATGAATGGTTTATTGTTGTGTGTCCCAATGTCTACTTCCATATTCAAATGTAAAAATAATGGCATTGTAGACCTCAATGTTTGCTGTTAAACATAGCATGAGGTTTTGTGTTTTGCCAGAAGGAATTCATTTCAACACTTGGAAGATCTGCTTGTTTGGTCAGGTTTAGACTGACAGCGGAAGATGCAGTCTAGGTTGGGAGAATCCAGGCAGCGTTAACTCAGCAGCAGCTCTGATGGAATGGGCAGTCCCTCAGTTCTGCCAGTTTTTCAGTTTCTCCAAGGCCTGTGGTGCCAGATGCTGCAGAGTACATGAAGGATTTTCTAGAAGACTGGGAGAAAGGATTATGATTTTTTTGAGGTCAGCTGAGAGCTGCCAGTTCTTCTTAAAACCAGATCATAAAAAGGCATTTTAAACACCATGCTTTGGCAATGGTAGAGAACAGGGAGTAAATGCGAAGAAGTTCCTCTTATGTACAGGGTCCCTTTATCTGTCTTTCTTCTCTCTTTTCCAATCCCCAATAAATTAGAACAACCTAATTAGAATGATTGAGGTTGGAAGGAACCTCTGGAGCATGTCTAGTCCAAGCCCCTCTGCTCAGAGCAGTTTTTTTGAGTTTTCATTTTTAGTAGTCATAGGAAAAGCGTTAAGCACAACTACTGTGGACTGTCTTAATGCATAAAGCTTTAGAACCTTGTCGATTTGATAGTTAGTTGCTATCATTACTTAAATTAATTATGCTTTATTTTCATCTCAGTTTTAACTGGATATTTCTCTCTGCCAGACTGTAGTGAGATGTCTGACCTGCATTGACTGAAATCTTCTGTGTTAAAGAAATACACTGACCTTCTTGAATTTTTCACCAACATTCTTGTAAGAACTGTCACATTTCTCAGTGCTTACACTTGCCTTCCTGACTCATTTCTGAACTCTTTATAATGCATCAACATATACTCATTATGGATGCTTGAGCTGGATGTTATGTGAATGTGGTGGGAAATAAGATCCTGCAGGCATCAGAAGCTTAGCTGACAGATTCAGAAACATTATTTCAATAACTGATCAGGGTATTTTTAGCCTGTTATTTCTTTTGGTTTCGAAAAAGGGGTTATTATTTTTTTCAAAGAAGAGTTGCTATCACATGAATTATTAATAAACATTCAGTAATAAAAAACATTCTGTTGGGTAATGATCCATAATTAATACAAACTAAATTGCATGTGCCATATTAGTGACTTACTATACCAAGCCAAAATCTGATTACTTGCAACTTTGGCAAGTATAGCAGCAGTCACGTCATATACCTTGATGCTTGTTGAGCTGCAGTATTTAGAGTGACTGTTGGGAATATTGTACTGCAAAATGCCAGAAACGTAAATAATCAGTCTGTTGAAATTATTGTTCGCAAGCAAAAATATAAGGCTAGACAGCTGATGCAAATATGTTACATCTAATTACTTAGTAAGGCATCCAAATATATGCATTGTGTATCCTTATGCATGTCAGCACAGAGCGTAGTCAACCATGAGAGATGTTCATTCTGCACTATTTCACTGAAATGTAGTTACCAAAACTCAGTCATGTCCATCAATGTACAGACCTAATGGTCCAATGATGCAGAACGTTTTTCTTTTTTTTTTTCTTTCTTTTTTTTTTTTTTTAAAAAAAACCTTTTTTCTTTCTTTTTCTTTTGGCCTTTACCCAGGAAGAAATGGGACTTTTTCAACTGAGCAAGAAAGAAATGTCTTTGTAGGCACCTATGGTCCGCAGGCCCATTTACTACATCTGCTTTTCAACCTAATGAATCGAGATCTGCCTGCACACAGGTTGCTGGTTTTTTTCCAGTATTAGAAACCTAATATGTCTGCCTTAAGTAAAGCACAGGCTGTATAGGAAATTGGATGGAGAGGACCCAAATTATATTTCCTCAAACTACTATGGTAGAACATATAGAGAGTTGAATTTTCAACTGCTGAAAGCCAAGTGATCTGATTTGGACAACTGTTTTTCTCCATTTTAAGTAAGCTGGCCTCTAAGGCTGCAATTAGTTTTGGTTTTCCTGAATGAAAATTCTCAAGTTTGAGGTTGCCAGCCAGGAAATTTTAAGGAGGGCATTTCCATATTAAAACAAATGAACACCACCAACAAGAAAAAGCCTGACCTCTTCTAACACCCTTTAATTACCTTACCTTCAGCCCTAAGAAAGAACAAATATTATGATTTTCTAATCCATATCATTATCCTACTTCCAGAAGGAAGTATCCAGTAGGATAGTGATCAGCTGTGCTTTAAATTTCCAGAATAATCAGCTATAGGTGTGTCAGTTAAATATGAGTGTTGTGTGTAACTGGGAGGGGTATTTGATAGAGTTGGGCCATTGTAACAGGGGAGTTCTAATAGTCTTTATTCAGGTTCATTGCATATCCTCAACTTCTCGCATTCTGTGGATTACTATAAAACATGAAATAGCAACTGGAGATTGCCTACCAGCTTTGTAATGAACATCTAAATCTGCTCTGTGAGGTATTGGCACAACTTTGGAAAAAAATGTCCCAGCGAGCCTGTGATCTTGGGCCGGAGAGGAGAGGAAGAGCCCCCTGCGTTCCTTACTGTGCCTTCCACTGGGGTAGATGGTGCCTTTTCCTACTAAGGTCCTGTTTAGCACCACTTTGTTTAACTAGATAACTTTCTCAATGCATGTTGTAAACTGTATGCAGGGTTAATTATTTTGTGTATTATCTTTTAAAAGAAAACACATTTAGAGCCTTGCATTTTAGAGAGGATTTAAAAGAAAAAAGGTAGCAGAATGGTTTTCTTTGCTTGGATTTCTCTCTGAAGTTGCTGTGATTTAAACAAGAGATTGAGATATTTCTCTAAGTTTGCTTGTGTGAAGTTAATGAAGAAGGGGGATGTCACCGTTTGGTTAATTCAGTGTTTTGATGCGCTCATGCAGCCCAATATAATTACATATGAAATGCAATCAATTTGTGCATGAGGGATTAGAAGCGGCTCTCAAGCGAGTAAGTCATAGTTGAGTGAGCTGGGCCCCCTGCTGCACTTTGCTTTTGTTATTGTTTAAAAGGTCTCCATGCTAAAAAGTTGGTTTTATTAATATTAGTAAGACTGGTGTGTTTAGATTACTAAAGTTAGCTGAAGATGTATTGCCTGCCTTGTGTGTCACATCTGGTAAATAGCTGGTTGCTTTGGTAACTGCCTAGAAGGGTAGAGGGTCCTTGGTAGCACATAAATTCTTTAAACAAAACCTGATAGTAGCGAATTCTAACATCAGTCTTCATAGAAGGATAAAAGAGGAGGAAGAGATTCAGACAGCTTTTTCCTTTTGTAAACTTGCTGCTTTATAGGGGGAAAAATAGCTCAAAATAGAGTGCCTCATACAAAATGAAAACGTTGTGGATTAAGTCATTGCATTAGTGAAACAGCTGCATGAATGTGAAACAGAAAGTTCTCCAGCTTCAGCCATTACGGGTTTGTTTGGTTAGGTCTAATTTTGGAAATCATTTAGCAAAGGTAAATGACTTGCACAGGAGACTACTGTAAACAAAAGACTCGATACATTTACTTTGGCAAGAGTCTTAAGAAGACTCATTCCTTTCACTGCCTCTTTTATACAGCCTCCTGTAATACTCTCCCTGCCTGCCTGCCTCTGTATGCCGGCAGCTCTTACTTCCCTTCTCTGCTCTGACTGCTTTTTCCCTTGGCAGGTAGGATTTAAGGGTAGGATTTAACGGTGGCAGCACCTCCTGTGGAGTTACTGGTGTGTAGCTGTTTAATAACCTTCTCGCAGTAGCTGTGCCTTCACTCCTAGAGCTAATACCTTTTGCTCAAGTAGGAATCCCATCATTCTCTCCCATCCTAATCCGGGAGTGCAATACGTTTAAAACGTCCAAATAGTTAATTGTGGCTTTGTTTTCCCTACTCTTTCTGTGTTTTACCATTTAATAGCTTACACCTACAGATTCTCTTGGCGTGTTGAAGCTTAGCTGAGTTTTCTAGTCTTCCAGTGAAGAGTAAACCATGAGGATTATAATTCCCTTTCCACATCTCTCTGTACATGTGGTGAAGTCAGGGCTCTGCCCGTTGCACCCGCTTTACTCACACTTATGTGGGCAGGGAAGCAAGTTCAGTGCTGAGGGACAGAGTGGCCATGCAGAGCTTGCTTTTCCTCTCATAAAGCTCCTGGTGTGAGTGTAATGCACAGTTTTCCTTGATTTCTAATGCTGTGAGGGTAAAGTAGAGGAACTAAATTTCATACCACTTGCTGGCACCATTTTTCCTGCACTCTCTAGATGCTGGGTGGGAGACCCTCCCTGTGCTTCTGCTTTGGTCAGTGTCCTCTTTTTTGGGGGAAAGGTGGGTTTCTTTCCCTCCGTTTTCACCTGAGTGCTTTCCCTGCCATCAAGTGACATGTCAGCTCCACATCACCTCCTCTCTTGCTGTTGAGAGGTAGCAAGGATTCTCCCCTTTCCTCAGACTTCCTGATAAGGGGATAGGAGATCTTCTTCTGCTACCAGATGGTTTGAAAGGGGACCAATTCTCTGGTTACATCTTTCCCATGTGTGGGAAGGGATCTTTGTTTTCGTTTCTCTTTCTGCCATACCATGCTGTTCTCTTATTTTTCCCTAAAAGGAAGGACTTTTGCCCAGTTCCTTTCTTGTCTTGTACTTGACTGGGGCCTCCACTTGGTTCCATTTCCTCAACAGTCCATGCACTGGCCAACTACTGAGTTTTATCCCTTCTGAGATTGTCAGGCAATGGTTTCAGTCCAGGAATAGTAAATTAATCAGGCTTACTGTGATTCCTGAAACAGTCTGGGCATACTGTAGCTTTAATTTATTTCATTAAACCAAAAAATTATTATACTTTCATCTTCAAACCACAGCAGACTCATCTCTGTGTATTCCCAGAAAGGATAGCAGTGCTGATGGCCATTCTGATGGATCACTAATCCCAAAGGAATCTATACGGTTGCTTTCTATGGCTGCGTTTAGAAGAGAAGAATATCTGTATCCCTGAAATTGTGATCATTAGCTAGAAATACAATAATTGAAAAGCTGATAGGAAAAGGGCTTTTCTAATAGTAGGCCTGATCCCTAAAATAAACATCCATATAATAATTATACATCAAAATGTTTGACCAGTACAACTGATATAAACAAGCCAACAATGGAAACGAATGCCTAGAAGGAGGTTTTATTTTAGACTAGTTTCATCATATGTTCTGTGTGTGTGTGTGTATGAAAAATGTCTAGACTTTCAGGTCACACAACTGATTCTGAAGAAAAAGATGTGGTTTTAGCTACATGAAACATTTTGCAATTCG